TTTAAAGTGATAGCATTCTCATTTGGATTCCAGGGACCTAAGAATAGGCTCTGTTTGTCAAGATCAGCAGGGACATACGAAAGGCTGACAACAGGAAAGGAGACAGGTGGTGAGTATATAAATGCTGTCAACTAGCAAACAGAGGAGCACAGTACCCTGCTTGAGTAGATAACACACAAACAAAATGAAGAAAACGAAAATTGTGAGCAAGTCACTCCAACATACAATCACCAATTAAATATAAACACAAAAACGTAACAATGCCTCAGAGACAACAGAGCATCACACATCACAGTCCTTACAAACAAGCAAGATAAGGGACCAGGATACAGACCCAAAACACATCCCTGAAGAAGAGGCAGCACTGGAACTCCCTGATAAGGAATTCAAAAGAATTTTATTTAGGTATCTTCAATGAATTGAGAGACAGATCAAGGAAAATACCCTAGAAAAATTTCTAAAGACAATACAAGAACAAAATGACAAAATAAATGGAAAATAAGAAATGACACAAAATCTGCTCACAGAAACCCAGAAGATTAACACTAAATTTTCAGAAATAGATAAGACATTGAACTGGCAACAGAGCAGAATTGAATCAATGAAAGACAGAATTAGGGAGATTGAAGGCAAATAGCTGAACACTTCTTTGGAAAGGGATCAGTCAGAAAAAAAGAGCAAAACAAAATGAAGAAAGCCTAAGGTTTATGTGGGATACCATCAAAAGGAATAATCTACGTGTCACTGGAATTCCAGAACAGGAAGAGAAAAAAAAAAAAAACAGAGAAAAATGTTGAAGATTTGTTGGAAAAGAATTTTCCTGGTGTGATGAAAGATGAGAATATATCCACTCAGAAAGTCCAACAGACCCCAAACAGCACAGACCCCAAAAGAAAATCACCCAGACATATCATCATCAAACTTACCAAACCAAAGACAAAGAAAGAATATGAGAGCGGCACAGGAAAAACGAAAAGTCACCTACAAGGGGCAACCAACAAGACTAAGATTGGATTTCTTAGCAGAAACCATGCAGGCCAGAAGACAATGGGATGGCATATATAAAACCCTGAAAGAGAAAAGTTTCCAACCAAGAACTATGTACCCAGCAAAACTGTCCCTCTAATATGATGGTGAAATTAAGACATTTCCAGATAAGGAGAAATTAAGGCAATTTGTTAAAACCAGATAAACCTTACAAGAAATGCTAAAGGGAGCCCTTTGGACAGAGAAGCAACAACAGCCAACAACAACTGACCATTAACTCACATGATGACATAACCCAGAAACCAACCCAGCTATGGTAGTATCCAAAGTAAAGAAGCCTGCAAGATTATGAACAGGGAACCAGAGACATCAATTGACAAATGAGGACAACTACAAACCAGAAAGAGGGAAAAAACTGTGTCGTTATAGTACTTCTAGATGGTAGGGAAGTTAAGACAATTACAAGATAGAATGGACTGTTCTAAATTTGGGAAGAAAACTATAAATCACAGGGTAACCTCAAAGAAAAATGATAAACCCTCACATCAAAACAGAGGACCAGCATAAATATCAGCAAATACTAAAACAATAACAATGAAGGAAGTGATGACACGATTCACAAACAAAACAAGCTCAGCATAAAAAATTATATGGAACAAAATCAGCATAGAAAATTATAAGGAACAAAGAAATCAACACCATGAAAAACCACATAACAAAAATGACAGCAACAAATTTATATTTACCGATAATTACTTTATCTGGCAAGGGACTTATCTCTAAGATTTATAGCAGAAGAGTGGATGACCAAACTATGGT